GAACTGGTCAATTAGTTGTTTAAAAACAGTCCAAAAAATGAAATGTCGGTTAATCGTTCAGCACTATGTTTGACAAATTGAAATATTCTTATCTATAATAATATGATTATTTAGACTAGCCTAAGCGCACAGCCTACCGTGCACCTTATAGACACATTTGCTGTTTAACGCAACAGTTTCTGTGACTAAACTATGTGAAAATGCGATGGAAAGACATTGAACTTTAGATTTTTTATTCAGTACATAAAAACTTAAGGGAAAAAAAGTACATTTTGTGTGCACTACATCATCACGCACTGATTTTCATCAGCAACAAGTCCGTTTGGTGAAAACACAACACTGGCAGGAAAATTTGCAGATTTTAGAATATTCGCATGAAAGTCGGTCGCCAATTGAATGGAAACCTAGCTAGTGTTATCATTCCATGCTGTGTGTGTTCACACTCCAATAGCAGCACAGTATTTGTGGATCTGGACCTTCTGTTTGCTCATTTTAATGGGTTCAAAGGCACGGCTCCAGGTGCATGATAAAGCCAGAGAGAGAGGGGGTAAGACTGTAGAGAGAGAGAGACGGAGGGAGTGAGACACAGGAGAATGAGAGGGAAAGAGACAGGGTAAGAAAGAAGGAGAGAAAAGAACGGGAGAGAGAGAGGAGAGAGGGTAGAGAGTAGAAGGGGGAGATACATGTAAGACAGAGAGAAAGAGAGTGAGAGAGAGGGGTGCAGCGAGAGAGAGAGAGGGTAGCGAGAGAGAAGAGAGAGCGAGAGAGAGGGGGGTGGCGAGAGAGGAGAGAGAGGGGGGGGGGGGGGTAGTGAGAGAGTAGAGAGAGAGGGAGAAGGTGAGAAAGTGACATAGGACAACCAGAGGGGGGCAACCGTAGGACCGTCTATCCTCCTCTCTCCTCTTCTCTGCACAGACAGTTTAACAAATGGGGGCGGCAGACTCAGGGACATGTCCTCCTCTCTCTCTTCCTCTTCATCTGTCCTATCTCGCAATCATACTCTCTTCCGACTCTTCTTCTCTCTCTCCTCCCTCCTCTCTCTCCTCTCCCACTCTCTCTCTCTCTCCTCTCTTCTCCTTCATCTCCTAGACCGGGGTTTATCGTAAGATGAGGCCTTCCACAGAAGGTTTCCCTTCTCAATTGGGTTCTTTCGATCTTAGTGGCACCCAGTTTGTCTCTCCCTTGTTGGGAGCTGTCTTGGTTCCTCCCCATTCCCTATAATCGTTTACCCAAGATAACAATCTGCATTCGATGTGCTCGGATCCTTCAGCAAGGCTCATGTCCTGCATGGCCTCTGTGATATGCGGAGGGGATCAGGAGTTATTGTACAATAAGATCGGCTCGACCATCGTACAGAAGGTCAAATACACTATTTCAAAGTTGGACTTTATTGTGTCTGCTTTTCAGCCCTTGCGGGTTATCGAGCCGCTGCATCTCCTCACGCGATCCTTAGAGCTCTGTAACGTGACCCCAATGCCCCTTCGACAAGAGTTGTCGTTGCTTGATCTGTCTCTGGCCTCGGGATTTGTGAACGGGAAGCTCAAACTGGCTCCCATTCGTCCATCTCACCGTTCTGGGCTCAATAAATGCCTGCTGATCAACAATACCGTCATACTGCGACATCCCAGAATTCTGAGCCTGCATAATTGTCATGGCGACGCCGCAAGCCTAAGATACCATGTCAGCCGGTAGGGGCTCCGCTTGGCCCTCATAAAGATCCTAATAGCTTATCCTTCGCTCGGTGCCCGGGAGCACTCCAATCCATGCACGTTATTGGAAAAAGAGGGTAAATTGAGGGGAAAAAGAGGAAAGGGGGGTTTAAAAAAAAAAAGACAAAAGGGAGAACAGGGAAAAAAGGGAAAGGGGGGAAGCTGTAAAAAAGAAAGGGGGGGGGGAAAAGGGGGGAAAAGAGGGGAGGGGGGGGGAAAAAGAGAGGGGAAAAGATAATAAAGGGGAAATAAGAAAAGTGCTCTGTCATGTCTCTCTGTGCATTGATCTGCTCTCTCTCCATCGATCTCCTTCTCTCTCGTCTATCTCTATATCCATCCTGACGCATTCTTCTCTCTATCCTTCCTTTCTCCCATCTCCTGGAGAGCCAGGCTGGGATGGTTTATTGTGCAGTAAAGAAGAATGGGATGGGGCTGCTCTCTCACAGCAAGGCTTCTTCCCTTCCCACAGACAGTGTGTGTGTGTGTGTGTGTATGCGTTTGAGTGTGTGCACCCAAGTGTGTGTGCGTGCACCCTTGCTTGTGTGTGTGTGTGTGTACGTGCTTGTGTGTGTGTGTTTTCCTCCCCGACACAGATAAGATGTCTCCCTCCTGGAGGTAACGTCCGTTTAACCCCATCAGATAATGACAATATTTGTTTGTCATTGTCATGCTGTGCTCCCTACAGGATCCTTTCCACTGACTCAATGGCCCATGATCCCCAGCAATGACAAACAGGAACAGAGTCATGTGGAATAAAATGACACAGGAGGGGGGAAGAAACTAATGTATTGTAAACTTCTAACCAAACATCCCCAAGCTCTATGAGACCAATGGAGAGAAAGAAATGGAGGCAGGGGAAGAAGTACACTATATATACAAAAGTATGTGGACACTCCTTCAAATTAGTGGATTCTGCTTTTTCAGCCACACCCGTTGCTGACAGGTGTATACAATCGAGCACACAGCCATGCAATCTCCATAGCCAAACATTGGCAGTAGAATGGCCTTACTGAAGAGCTCAGTGACTTTCAACGTGGCACCGTCATAATATGCCACCTTTCCAACAAGTCAGTTCGTCAAATTTCTGCCCTGCTAGAGCTGCCCCGGGCAACTGTAAGTGCTGTTATTGTGAAGTGGAAATGTCTAGGAGCAACAACGGCTCAGCCATGAAGTGGTAAGCCACACAATCTCACAGAACGGGACCGCCTAGTGCTGAAGGGCATAGCACATAAAAATTGTCTGTCCTCGGTTGCAACACTCACTACCGAGTTCCAAACTGCCTCTAGAAGCAACATCAGCACAAGAACTGTTCGTCGGGAGCTTCATGAAATTGGTTTCCATGGCCGAGCAGCCGCACAGAAGCCTAAGATCACCATGCTCAATGCCAAGCGGCGGCTTGAGTGGTGTAAAGCTCACCGCCATTGGACTCTGGAGCATTGAAAACGCATTCTCTGAAATTATGAATCACGCTTTACCATCTGGGTTTGGCGGATGCCAGGAGAACGCTACCTGCCCCAATGCATAGTGACAACTGTTAAGTTTGGTGGAGGAATAATGGTCTGGGGCTATTTTTCATGGTTCGGGCTAGGCCTCTTAGTTCCAGTGAAATAAAATCTTAACGTTACAGCATACAATGACATTCTAGACAATTCTGTGCTTCCAACTTTGTGGCAACAGTTTGGGGAAGGCCCTTTCCTGTTTCAGTATGACAATGCCCCCGTGCACAAATCGAGGTCCATACAGAAATGGTTTGTCAAGATCGGTGTGGGAGAACTTGATTGGCCTGCACAGAGCCCTGACTTCAACCCCATCGAACACCTTTGGGATGAATTGAAACACCGACTGCAAGCCAGGCCTAATCGCCCAACATCTGCGCCCGACCTCACTAATGCTCTTGTAGCTGAATGGAAGCAAGTCCCTGCAGCAATGTTCCAACATCTAGTGGAAAGCCTTCCCAGAAGAGTGGAGGCTGTTAGAGCAGCAAAGAGTGGACCAACTCCATATTAATGCCCATGATTTTGGAATGAGATGTTCGACGTGCAGGTGTCCACATACTTTTGGTCATGTAGTGTAGACGGCACCCTAATCCCTTTATAGTGCACTACTTTTGATCAGGGCCCATACTGTTGACCAGGGCCCATAGTGCTCCATGTAAGGAATAGGGTGCCATTTGGGACGCAGCAAGCTCAGTTGATATAAGGAACCCATCATCTCATCCACCTGCAGAGAAGTAGAAAATGTCTCTATTTCCTCCAGAAGTAGCCCTGAGGTTGTGGTGATGATTGTATAACAATACACAACAGATCTTATATATACTGCCTAACAACATAAATCCCTTCTAACAATTTGTTATGCTGTAATTGTTTTCTATCCAACCATGCAATCTCTTAGATAAACCTTGTATCCAGTCAATTAAACTCTCAGTGAACCATGCCTCATTAGAGTTCAGTTGCCTGCGAGTCAGCAAATGCAATATGGTTAATAGCGTCATTTAGAGGGGAATGGAAGACATAGTGTGTGTCTCAAATGGCACCCTATTCAAATTTTGACCAGAGACTTATGGGCCCTGGTCAAAAGTAGTGCACTATGTAGGGAATAGCGTGCCATTTGGGATGCATGCATTGTTCCCATTGGACACCAGGACTGATCTGATGGGGCTCAGCGAAGGGGAAAAAGGAGGAACATTACGAAGTGTAATTACTTTAAGCACCATTAGGGATGCAATAACTTGGAGTGTTTTGCTACAAAACAAGTCCAGCTAGGCTGGTCTGAATTGGACAGAGAAAAAGCTATGTTGTTTCAGTATACACACAGTCCTAATCAACTGACTAACTGTCTGGTAGAGACCAGGGTTGGAGTCAATTCGAATTGAAGATAGTCAACTTAAAAAATAGCTTTTCATTTTTAAGTTTATTGAGAAGTCACTGAAAATAGACAGCCTTTTTACAATTATTGAAATGGAATTTCAGTTTACTTCCTGAATTGACTGCTTTCAATAAACATTTTAACTAAACCATGCTACCTGCAGTAGCTTGTTACTACGCCTGAGGGTAAATTGCTACAGGCAAAAAGGTCTCTGCTCACCTTGCCATGTCATGCATCATCTTCTGTTTCTAATTAAATAGGAAGTAAATGACAGCAGCAATTGCCAGTGTTTTGGGAATTACATCTGACAGCTGATTATTGTGGATGACAATCATTCGACTGCAATGAAGCATGGCTTCGATCGTAGACAGAGACAGGTTCCTTACCAATACAGTCATTACCTCACCACACTCTCTCCAGTGTTCACTCCTGTCTGTCTGTGACCTCCCAGTAGGTAACATTCTCTCCAGCCAGGCCTGTGAAGCTTTTATTAGTGTCCCACTGAGAAGCTATGGAGTGTTACACTGTGAGGGCCAGTGTAGGCCCAGCAGGCACTGAGAGATAGGGGTTGGGGTAATTGGGTATACACAGCTCTCATAGCGGACTGCCTAGTCTGGCACAGTGGTGTAGTGTGTGTGTATGTACTTGTGTGTCCGTGCATGTGTCCGTCTGTGTGTGTGGATGCGTTTTCGTTTGTGTGTGTGTGTCTGTCTTGTGAATGGTCAGTCCTCTCATGGCCTGCTGTGATGGGGGCCAGGTATCAGAGTGTTTGAAGTGAGAGTGTTACAGACTCATTGATCTGTGGCAGTCTCACAGGAGTTCTTTGCTGAGACATGGAAACAGAAGGACTGTTACAATCAATAGATGGATAGAGCCCTGCAGCAGCCAGCAACAGTTTGGGTTCCCTCCTCTGATGCTGGTTCTCTCTCCTCTGCTCACAGCCACCACCTCAGGAAATACAAAACACTCTTTCTCCATCTCTCCCTCTCAGAGGGGGTGGCAGTTAGCCTAGTGGTTAAGAACGTTGGGACTGTAACCAAAAGGTCGCTGGTTCAAATCGCCGAGCAAGGCAGTTAACTGCCATCAACAAGAACTCCCCGGGTGCCGATGATCTTGATTAAGGCAGCCCCCGCACCTCTCTGATTCAGAGGGGTTGGGTTAAATGCAGAAGACTCATTTTGGTTGAATGCATTCAGTTGTGCAACTGACTAGGTATCCACTTTCGCTTCCCTCATCAATGTGGGATATCTTTCATTATCTTAGAAAACGCTAACCTTTTAAGGCCCCGAATGGTTTGCTTACCCAGTTCTGCATCACATGGCCTTATGATTAATTCCGCATCGCTGCATTGGCTCCTTACCTGGAGTGGCTGTTTCTCTTGCCCATTAGAATGCATTACCTGAGCCCAGCTGTGGCTCCTTTAGGGCCTGAGACCAGGGATCAGTGTAGACAGGTACTATCCTGGGATCTGACAGAGCGGAGCTGTCTCAAAGTGGATGGGAATGGAAACTCATCATCCGGGTAAAAATGCAAGTGTAATCACACTCACAATGAGTTGTCTCCAATCTCCGTCCAGTTTAGATGTGAGCCGAGGACAGCAGCTGGCTGTGTGTGTGTTTATTGTTCTGTCTCAGGACAAAGGCCGGGTTCTAGAGGAGAATGAGACAGTGGGTCCCGACGGGAACGTGACCCGCAATCCGCCTTCAATGAAGACACAGTGAAGCCCGAGAGACGGGAAAGAGGGAGGAAACGGAATGTACTCTGCGGGTAGGAAGAGGAGATCGGAAAATTACCTTGCTTCATTGCCATGCTGGTCCAGATAGCACCATAATGTATGGGCCATATCAAAAACATTGAGCGAGACGGGGTGGATGAACAAATGTGGCCGAGGCAAAATATCTCTCCATCGGATGCCAGGGGAGAAGAGACGAGCTAGAGCTAATTTATATCTCCCCTGCAGTCGTTTTTATGTAATAAGCCCATTAAATGCTCTGGCATCTCATTCGTCCCTTTCCCCAGTAAAGCATATTTGTCAGTGGAATGGGCTTTGTGGCGCATCCAGCATTATGGAAGACCCTTCGAGATAACAGGGAAACATGTATTGGTTTCATGAGGTATATTTACAATAACATCCTGTAAACCATGCCAAGAGAGGATAGGGATACCAGCCACAGACAGGGCTGAGTCTGGGGCCCGTTTTTCAGTCTGTGCCTTTGTGTGTGGCAAATGTCCTTCCCTGTTAAAGGAATGACAAGAGAAGAGACACTGAGAAGAAATTAACAAGCAACATACAGTACCAGTCAAAAGTTTGGACACACCTACACATTCAAGGGTTTTTCTTTATTTGTACTATTTTCTACATTGTAGAATAATAGTGAAGACATCAAAACTATGAGATAAGACATATGGAATCATGTAGTAAACAAAAAAGTGTAAAATCAAAATATATTTTATATTCGAGATTCTTCAAAGAAGCCACCCTTTGCCTTGATGACAGCTTTGCACACTCTTGGCATTCTCTCAACCAGCTTCATGAGGAATGCTTTTCCAACAGTCTTGAAGGAAGTCCCACATACGCTGAGCACTTGTGGCTGCTTTTCCTTCACTCTGCGGTCCAACTCATCCCAAACCATCTCAATTGGGTTGAGGTCAGGTGATTGTGGAGGCCAGGTCATCTGATGCAGCACTCTCCTTCTTTGTCAAATAGCCCTTAGACAGCCTGGAGGTGTGTTTTGGGTCATTGTCCTATTGAAAAACAAATCAGATCGGATGGTGTATCGCTGCAGAATGCTGTGGTAGCCATGCTGGTTAAGTGTGCCTTGAATTCTAAATAAATCACTGACAGTGTCACCAGCAAAGCACCCCCACACCATCACACCTCCTCCTCCATACTTCACGGTGGGAACCACACATGCGGAGATCATCCGTTCACCTACTCTGCGTCTCACAAAGACACGCCAGTTGGAACCAAAAATCTCAAATTTGGACTCATCAGACCAAAGAACAGATTTCCACCTGTCTAATGTCCATTGCTCGTGTTTCTTGGCCCAAGCAAGTCTTCTTATTATTGGTGTCCTTTAGTAGTGGTTTCTTTGCAGCAATTAGACCAAGAAGGCCTGATTCACGCACTCCTCTGAACAGTTGATGTTGAGATGTGTCTGTGACTTGAACTCTGCTAAGCATTTATTTGGGCTGCAATCTGAGGTGCAGTTTCTCTAATGAACTTATCCTCTGCAGCAGAGGTAACTCTGGGTCTTCCTTTCCTCTGGCAGTCGTCATGACTGTCCCACCCCCCATACACGCGGAGACCGACTCAATTGGTGCCTCCAGTGATGCTATCTCTTTCATTGTTACCCAACGCTTAGGTTTACCTCCACTTTACTCATATCCTTCCATATCCTTGTCTGTACATAATGCCCTGAATCTTTTCTACAACGCCCGGAAATCTGCCCCCTTTATTCTATGTACCCAACGAGCTAGAAGACCAGTTCTTAAAGCCTTTAGCCGTATCCTTATTCTAGTCCTCCTCTGTTCCTCCGGTGATGTAGAGGCTAACCCAGGCCCTGCAGCCCTCAGTATCACTCCTACTCCCCAGGCGCTATCATTTGCTGACTTCTGTAATCGCAAAAGCCTTGGTTTCTTGCATGTAAATATCAGAAGTCTACTTCCTAAGTTTGAGTTATTCACTGCGTTAGCACACTCCGCCAACCCTGATGCTCTAGCAGTGTCTGAATCCTGGCTAAGGAAGGCCACCAAAAATTCTGAAATTTCCATCCCCAACTATAACATTTTCCGTCTAGATAGAACTGCCAAAGGGGGTGGAGTTGCAATCTACTGTAGAGATAGCCTGCAGAGCTCTATCATACTATCCAGGTCTGTGCCCAAACAGTTTGAGCTTCTACTTATAAAAATCCACCTTTCCAGAAATAAGTCTCTCACTGTTGCCGCTTGCTACAGACCCCCCTCAGCCCCCAGCTGTGCCCTGGACACCATATGTGAATTGATTGCCCCCCATTTATCCTCAGAGTTTGTACTGCTTGGTGACCTAAATTGGGATATGCTTAACACCCCGGCCATCCTACAATCCAAACTAGATGCCCTCAATCTCACACAAATTATCAACGAACCTACCAGGTACAACCCTAAATCCGTAAACATGGGTACCCTCATAGATATCATCCTGACTAACTTACCCTCTAAATACACCTCCGCTGTCTTCAACCAGGATCTCAGCGATCACTGCCTTATTGCCTGCGTCCGTAACGGGTCCGCGGTCAAACGACCACCCCTCATCACTGTCAAACGCTCCCTAAAACACTTTAGCGAGCAGGCCTTCCTAATTGACCTGGCCCAGGTATCCTGGATGGATATAGATCTCATTCCGTCAGTAGAGGATGCCTGGTTGTTCTTTAAAAGTAATTTCCTCTCAATCTTAAATAAACATGCCCCATTCAAAAAAGACAGAACTAAGAACAGATATAGCCCCTGGTTCTCCTCAGACTTGACTGCCCTTGACCAGCACAAAAACATCCTGTGGCGTACTGCATTAGCATCAAATAGCCCCCGCGATATGAAACTTTTCAGGGAAGTTAGGAACCAATATACACAGGCAGTCAGGAAAGCAAAGGCTAACTTTTTCAAACAGAAATTTGCATCCTGTAGCACTAACTCCAAAAAGTTTTGGGACACTGTAAAGTCCATGGAGAATAAGAGCACTTCCTCCCAGCTGCCCACTGCACTGAGGCTAGGAAACACTATCACCACCGATAAATCTACAATAATCGAGAATTTCAACAAGCATTTTGCTACGGCTGGCCATGCTTTCCACCTGGCTACCACTACCCCAGCCACCAACTCTGCACCCTCCGCTGCAAGTTGCCCATGCGCCCCCCGCTTCTCCTTCACACAAATTCAGACAGCTGATGTTCTGAAAGAGCTGCAAAATCTGGACCCCTACAAATCAGCTGGGCTAGACAATCTGGACCCTTTCTTTCTAAAACTAGCCGCCGAAATTGTCGCAACCCCTATTACTAGCCTGTTCAACCTCTCTTTCGTAACGTCTGAGATCCCCAGAGATTGGAAAGCTGCCGCGGTCATCCCCCTCTTCAAAGGGGGTGACACTCTAGATCCAAACTGTTACAGACCTATATCCATCCTGCCCTGCCTTTCGAAAGTATTTGAAAGCCAAGTTAACAAACAGATCACCGACCATTTCGAATCCCACCGTACCTTCTCCGCTATGCAATCCGGTATCCGAGCTGGTCATGGGTGCACTTCAGCCACGCTCAAGGTCCTAAACGATATTATAACCGCGATCGATAATAGACAGTACTGTGCAGCCGTCTTCATCGACCTGGCCAAGGCTTTCGACTCTGTCAACCACCGCATTCTTATTGGCAGACTAAATAGCGTTGGTTTCTCAAATGACTGCCTCGCCTGGTTCACCAACTACTTCTCAGATAGAGTTCAATGTGTCAAATCGGAGGGCCTGTTGTCTGGACCTATGGCAGTCTCTATGGGGGTGCCACAGGGTTCAATTCTTGGGCCGACTCTTTTCTCCGTGTATATCAATGATGTCGCTCTTGCTGCTGGTGACTCTCAGATCCACCTCTACGCAGACGACACCATTTTGTATACATCTGGCCCATCATTGGACACTGTGTTAACAAACCTCCAAACGAGCTTCAATGCCATACAACACTCCTTCAGTATCCTCCAACTGCTCTTAAACACTAGTAAAACTAAATGTATGCTCTTCAATCGAACGCTGCTGGCACCCGCCCACCCGACTAGAATCACCACTCTCGACGGGTCTGTCCTAGAGTATGTGGACAACTACAAATACCTAGGTGTCTGGTTAGACTGTAAACTCTCCTTCCAGACTCACATTAAGAATCTCCAATCCAAAGTAAAATCTAGAATCGGCTTCCTATTTCGCAACAAAGCCTCCTTCACTCATGCTGCCAAACATGCCCTCGTAAAACTGACTATCCTACCGATCCTTGACTTCGGCGATGTCATTTACAAAATAGCCTCCAACACTCTACTCAGCAAATTGGATGTAGTCTATCACAGTGCCATCCGTTTTGTCTCCAAAGCCCCATACACTACCCACCACTGTGACCTGTACGCTCTTGTTGGCTGGTCCTCACTACATGTTCGTCGTCAAACCCACTGGCTCCAGGCCATCTATAAATCACTGCTAGGCAAATCCCTGGCTTATCTTAGCTCATTGGTCACCATAGCAGTACCCACCCGTAGTCTGCGCTCCAGCAGGTATATCTCACTGGTCATTCCCAAAGCCAACACCTCCTTTGGCCACCATTCCTTCCAGTTCTCTGCTGCCAATGACTGGAACGAATTGCAAAAATCTCTGAAGCTGGAGACTCTTATCTCCCTCACTAACTTTAAGCATCAGTTGTCAGAGCACCTTACCGATCACTGCACCTGTACACAGCCCATCTGAAATTAGCCCACCCAACTACCTCATCCCTATATTGTTATTTATTTTGCTCTTTTGCACCCCAGTATCTCTATTTGCACATCATCTCTTGCACATCTAGCATTCCAGTGTTAATACTAATTGTAATTACTTTGCACTATAGCCTATTTATTGCCTTACCTCCATAACTTGAAACATTTGCACACACTGTATATATATTTTCTGTTGTATTTTTTGACTTTATGTTTTTTTTTTACCCCATATGTAACTCTGTGTTGTTGTTTTTATCGCACTGCTTTACTTTATCTTGGCCAGGTCGCAGTTGTAAATGAGAACTTGTTCTCAACTGGCTTACCTGGTTAAATAAAGGTGAAATAAATAAATAAATAAAAAATGAGAGCCAGTTTCATCATTGCTTTTGATGGTTTTTGCGACTGCATTTGAAGAAACTTTCAAAGTTCTTGACATTTTCTGGATTGATTGACCTTCATGTCTTAAAGTCATGATGGACTGCCATTTCCCTTTGCTTATTTGAGCTGTTCTTGCCATAATATGGACTTGGTCTTTTACCAAATAGGTCTATCGTCTGTATACCACCACTACCTTGTCACAACACAACGGATTGGCTCAAACACATTAAGAAGGATAGAAATCCCACAAATTAACAAGGCACAGCTGTTAATGCATTCCAGGTGACTACCTCATGAAGCTGATTGAGAGAATGCCAAGAGTGTGCAAAGCTGTCATCAAGGCAATGGGTCGCTACTTTGAAGAATCTAAAATATTTGTTCACACTTTCTTGGTTACTACATGATTCCATATGTGTTATTTCATAGTTTTGATATCTTCACTATTATTCTACAATGTAGAAAATAGTAAAAATAAAGAAAAACCCTTGAATGAGTAGGTGTGTCCAAACTTTTGACTGGTACTGTACATATACCCACTACAAAACCTTGATGAAGGCTTTACATTTCTTAAAAGCCTCAAAGGCTACTGTAAAAAATCTATTTGCACTTGACACCAAAGTCACAATCTTTAAAAAAAATGATGTTAACAACAAGCTAATATTAGTTTAAAAGCACTTTATTCAACTGTATCCAAACATTCATACATATCACATCCTAATCCACATCACAGGTTAGTTACATACAGTTTGTCATGTCATCTTGAGACCTGCAAGAGGAATGGATTACATAATATTCAGTCATTATAAAGCCTTCAGCAGGACTAGCCATACAAGACCCATGTGTTATCTGTGTTACAGTCAAAATGTTTCCCCTAGTCAGCTGGCTTAGTGAGTCAGGGTGGGACTGACATGGCACCTTTTGGTTCCACACAGATATATGTATTATACAGCAAAGAGACTCACATCAGCCAGTTCATCAGAATCTGACAGCCACAGAGACCATAGACCCACAAGGAACATTATAGCACTACCTGATTCACTCACAGCTCAGAGCTGAAATATAATCATGGCCATTCACAGCAACCAGTAATGATCTTGGAGAGGTTTCCAAAAGAACAGGCTGAGCCTCCCACAGTATTGAGAGTTTAGGTCTGTGTTTAGTTTCACAGTGGCAGATGATAGATGTGTGTGTGTGTGTGTGTGTGTGTGTGTGTGAGAGTGTGTGTGCATGGAGTGCGTGTGTGTGTCCTGGAGTTGGTTGATGTTTTGGCTGTAGGAGGCAGCATCTGTCTGTTGGCAGTCTGGTGTATAATTGTAACGGCGCTAACTCATTATGATGGCACTCTCACAAAGACATTACCCTACACACAGAAGACAAACCACTGCTAGTGAAGAGGGGTACTCTGCAGAGACAACTAGTCTTAACTAAGTAACTTCTAAATAGACTAACTGTTGCCCTGGGTGAAGATGTATCAGAAAATATACTTGACTGGGAAGGGTAAGCTCCATATGATAGCCTATATATCTTGTCAAAAGCGCAACCTGACAGCAATTCTCATCAAATAAATGGGAAGTCTGAAATACGAGACACATTATTTATTTATTTTTATTTTTATCAATGTTATGTTTTTATAAAATGTGGGACATGCATGTGTGGTTGCAGGATGAGGGATAAAGGGTCAAAATGCAGGACTTTCTAGCACAACTCAGGACAGTTGGTCACCCTCAGCTTGCCACGAGAGATTAGATTAGATCCTTCTATTACAGACCATGTGTATGCGTCAAGTGTGGCCCCCCTCTCGACGCCTCAGGCAAATAGTCTGATCAGCTGGCAGTGAACACTGTAGGGAGACAGAGACGCACAGAAGGAAAGTTACACATTCATCAATATGATGAGTGTTCGTTTCCAGTCTGACTTTACTGTCCATATCACAGATGTTTAAAACTAATGGAATGGAGCTGAAGTTCCAAGTTCAGAAGCTTTATTGTCAATTTTAGAGTAAAAATTGAGATTGGTATTTAGCTTCCACGTGGCTTGGTTACAGAAACACTGTGATGAGACCTGGAATGGTCCGTTAGTAGTGTGGCAGTTGTTAATGCAGTATGGAGACCCCGACTTTAATAAAAGTTAAACTCAGATGATGCTGCAAAGACCATACAGATTTTATTTTCCAGTCAGTCACACTGGTGGTTCAATTAATATTTGTTTTCTTTCAAATACTTCAGCTGTGCTTGACTGAGCTTGCCTGGTGCAATGGAACCAATGGAAGAAAAAAAATTGAAGTCACCTACTGATATTCAGCAGTGAAAGAAAGCAGCCGATTTCTTTCTGTCTTCTTTTTTTTCTGATTGTTTTAGGGGCGATCAGGGTTATCACCATCAATTATCTCAGCTGCTCATTTGCTGACTCATTCCAAGAACAATTACTGGAGAGAAAAAAGGCAATAAATGAATGGACTTGTATTTTAATTAAAAGTGAGTAGGCTCTTAACAGTGGGAGGGATATTAAATTAGATATACTAGAATTACACAGCCATGCCTCATTGGCAAAGTATAACGGAGCATCAAGTAAATGATGTATTCAGGAGGAAAGCCACTGTCATGCTATATAAAAATCTCTACTGAAATCGTTGTGGTGGAGGGAGAGCCACCATCATGCTATATAATGATCTCTACTGATGTTGTGGTGGAAGAAGTGGGACCACTTGTGTGTGTTTGCGTGTGGGTAAACCTCAAACTTCCTAAATCTCTTAACAAAACCAATAGATTAAAATTGACTTGACTTGTATAGCCGCATGAGGCAGGATCTCCCCGTCACAGTTCCAGTTGCTATGGCCTGTGTCGTAGCTGGGATGGGCTGTACAGATCTGGTTAAAGATCTTCTTCTCGCTTGTCTCACTCAGGTCCACCTCTGAGGTCACGTTGCTGCGCTTCGGAATGAACCGGAACCGCCGCACACGGTGAACCTCCATGAAGGACATGTCAAACTGTGGAGGCAGAGAGGGAGGGATGGTGGGAAGTTAGGGGAGGGAGGTACAGTATATAGAGAATGAGGGAGTGAAGACGAGGGGATGGAGAGAAAGTAGGGAAAAGAGGCCGAAAAGAAAGGGTCAGTCAACAGTACCAAGGGCTCAATCTTTCACTGCCTCAGAAAACAATCTCTCTTTATCCTCCCATCACTACTCAGTTCTACTCCACAGACTGTCTGAGAAGAGAGGAGAGAGTGTCTGAGAGCGATTTATTCTCCATCACACTCATACCAAGTGTCCCCTAAAAGGCTTTCTGACAAAACTATGAATACACTTAGTGGCCTCTCACTCCTTGTTTCGCTCCTTGGTGGATTGGCTATGCAGATATTAAACAGGTATAATGCAATGAACATCCTACCATCCCACCTGTTTGTACAGTACCAGTCAAAAGTTTGGACACACCTACTCATTCCAGGGTTCTTCTTTATTTTTACAATTTCTACATTGTAGAATAATAGTGAAGACATCAAAACTATGAAATAACACATATGAAATCATGTAGTAACCAAAAAAGTCTTAAACAAATCAAAATATATTTTATATTTGAGATTCTTCAAAGTAGCTACACTTTGCCTTGATGACAGCTTTGCACTCTCTCAACCAACTTCATGAGGAATGCTTTTCCAACAGTCTTGAAGGAGTTCCCACATATGCTGAGAACTTGTTGGCTGCTTTTCCTTCACTCTGCAGTCCAACTCATCCCAAACCATCTCAATTGGGTTGAGGTCGGGTGATTGTGGAGGCCAGGTCATCTGATGCCGCACTCAATCATCCTTCTTGGTCAAATAGCCCTTACACAGCCTGGAGGTGTGTTTTGGGTCATTGTTCTGTTGAAAAACAAATTATAGTCCCACTAAGCGCAAACCCGATGGGATGGCGTATCGCTGAAGAATGCTGTGGTAGCCATGCTGGTAAAGTGTGCCTGCAATTCTAAATAAATCACAGACAGTGTCACCAGCAAAGCACCATCACACCTCCTCCTCCATGCTTCACAGTGGGAACCACACATGCGGAGATCATCCGTTCACCTAGTCTGCGTCTCACAAAGACATGGTGGTTGGAACCAGAAATGTCAAATTTGGACTCATCAGACCAAAGGACAGATTTCCACCGGTCTAATGTCCATTGCTCGTATTTCTTGGTCCAAGCAAGTCTCTTCTTATTATTGGTGTCATTTAGTAGTGGTTTCTTTGCAGGAATTCGACCATGAAGGCCTGATTCACATAGTCTCCTCTGAACAGTTGATTTTGAGATGTGTGTTATTTGAACTCTGTGAAGCATTTATTTGGGCTGCAATCTGAGGTGCAGTTAACTCTAATGAACTTATCCTCTGCAGCAGAGGTAACTCTGGGTCTTCCTTTCCTGTGGCGGTCCTCATGAGAGCCAGTTTCATCATAGCGATTGATGTTTTTTAGCGACTGCATTTGAAGAAACTTCACAAATTCTTGAAATGTTCCGTATTGACTGACCTTCATGTCTTAAAGTAATGATGGACTGTCGTTTCTCTTTGCTTATTTGAGCTGTTCTTGCCATAATATGGACTTGGTATTTTACCAAATAGGGCTATCTTCTGTATACCACCCCTACCTTGTCACAACACAACTGATTGGCTCAAACGCATTAAGGAAAGAAATTCCACAAATTAACTTTTAACAAGGCACACCTGTTAATTGAAATGCATTCCAGGTGAGTACCTCATGAAGCTGGTTGAGAGAATGTCAAGAGTGTGCAAAGCTGTCATCAAGGCAAAAGGTGGCTACTTTGAAGAATCTCAAATATATAAATATATTTTGATTTGTTTAAGACTTTTTTGGTTACTACATGATTCCATATGTGTTATTTCATAGTTGTGATGTGTTCACTATTATTCTACAGTCGTGGTCAAAAGTTTTGAGAATGACACAAGTATTGGTCTTCACAAAGTTTGCTGCTTCAGTGTTATGAGATATTTTTGTCAGATGTTACTATGGTACAGTGAGGGAACAAAGTATTTGATCCCCTGCTAATTTTGTACGTTTGCAGGGGATCAAATACTTTTTTCCCTCACTGTATATGTGCTTTCTTGAGCAGGGGGACCTTGCGGGCGCTGCAGGATTTCAGTCCTTCACGGAGTAGTGTGTTACCAAATGTTTTCTTGGTGACTATGGTCCCAGCTGCCTTGAGATCATTGACAAGATCCTCACGTGTAGTTCTGGGCTGATTCCTCACCGTTCTCATGATCATTGCAACTCTACGAGGTGAGATCTTGCATGGAGCCCCAGGCCGAGGGAGATTGACAGTTCTTTTGTGTTTCTTCCATTTGCGAATAATTGCACCAACTGTTGTTACCTTCTCACCAAGCTGCTTGGCGATGGTCTTGTAGCCCATTCCAGCCTTGTGTAGGTCTACAATCTTGTCCCTGACATCCTTGGAGAGCTCTTTGGTCTTGGCCATGGTGGAGAGTTTGGAATCTGATTGATTGATTGCTTCTGTGCACAGGTGTCTTTTATACAGGTAACAAGCTGAGATTAGGAGCACTCCCTTTAAGAGTGTGCTCCTAATCTCAGCTCGTTACCTGTATAAAAGACACCTTGGAGCCAAGAATCTTTCTGATTGAGAGGGGTCAAATACTTATTCCCCTCATTAAAATGCAAATCAATTTATAACATTTTTGACATGTGTTTTTCTGGATTTTTTTGTCTCTCACTGTTCAAATAAGCCTACCATTAAAATTATAGACTGATCATGTCTTTGTCAGTGGGCAAACGTACAAAATCAGCAGGGGATCAAATACTTTTTTCCCTCACTGTACATGCCCGTCTGAAGTTTGCTAATTAACATCTGAATGATTCAGAGGAGAACTGGGTGAAAGTGTTGTGATCAGATGAGGCCAAAATGGAGCTCTTTGGCATCAACTCAACTCGCCGTGTTTGGAGGAGGAGGAATGCTGCCTATGACCCCAAGAACCCCATCCCCACCGTCAAACATGGAGATGGAAACATTATGGTTTGGGGGTGTTTTTCTGCTAAGGGGACAGGACAACTTCACCGCATCAAAGGGACGATGGACGGGGCCATGTACCGTCAAATCTTGGTTGAGAACCTCCTTCCCTCAGCCAGGGCGTTGAAAATGGGTCGTGGATGGGTATTCCAGCATGACAATGACCCAAAACACACGGCCAAGGCAACAAAGGAGTGGCTCAAGAAGAAGCACATTAAGGTCCTGGAGTGGCCTAGCCAGTCTCCACACCTTAATCCCATAGAAAATCTGTGGAGGGAGATGAAGGTTTGAGTTGCCAAACGTCAGCCTCGAAACCTTAATGACTTGGAGAAGATCTGCAAAGAGGAGTGGGACAAAATCCCTCCTGAGATGTGTGCAAACCTGGTGGCCTACTACAAGAAACATCTGACCTCTGTGATTGCCAACAAGGGTTTTGCCACCAAGTACTACGTCATGTTTTGCAGAGGGGTCAAATACTTATTTCCCTCATTAAAATGCAAATCAATTTATAACATTTTTGACATGCGTTTTTCTGGATTTTTTTGTTGTTATTCTGTCTCTCACTGTTCAAATAAGCCTACCATTAAAATTATAGACTGATCATGTCTTTGTCAGTGGGCAAACGTACTAAATCAGCAGGGGATCAAATACTTGTTTCCCTCACTGTATACTGACGTATAATTACAAGCATTCCATAAGTGTCAAAGGCTTTTATTGACAATTACATTTATGCAAAGAGTCAATATTTGCAGTGTTGACCCTTCTTTTTCAAGACCTCTGCAATCCGCCCTGGCATGCTGTCAATTAACTTCTGGGCCACATCCTGACTGATGGCAGCCCATTCTTGCATAATCAATGCTTGGAGTTTGTCAGAATTTGTGGGCTTTTGTTTGTCCACCCGGCTCTTGAGGATCGACCACAAGTTCTCAATGGGATTAAGATCTGGGGAGTTTCCTGGCCATGGACCCAAAATGTTGATGTTTGTTCCCCGAGTCACTTAGTTATCACTTTTGCCTTATGGCAAGGTGCTCCATCATGCTGGAAAAGGCATTGGTCGTCACCAAACTGTTCTTGGATGGTTGGGAGAAGTTGCTCTCGGAGGATGTGTTGGTACCATTCTTTATTCATGGCTGTGTTCTTAGGCAAAATTGTGAGTGAGCCCACGCCCTTGGCTGAGAAGCAACCCCACACATGAATGGTCTCAGGATGCTTTACTGTTGGCATGACACAGGACTGATGGTAGCGCTCACCTTGTCTTCTACAGACAAGGTGTTTTCCGGATGCCCCAAACAATCGGAAAGGGGATTCATCAGAGAAAATGACTTTACCCCAGTACTCAGCAGTCCAATCCCTGTACCTTTTGCAGAATATCAGTCTGTCCCTGATGTTTTTCCTGGAGAGAAGTGGCTTCTTTGCTGCCCTTCTTGACACCAGGCCATCCTCCAAAAGCCTCACTGTGCTTGCAGATGCACTCACACCTGCCTGCTGCCATTCCTGAGCAAGCTCTGCACTGGTGGTGCCCCGATCCCGCAGCTGAATCAACTTCAGGAGACGTCCTGGCGCTTGCTGGACTTTATTGGGCGCCCTGACGCCTTCTTCATAACAATTGAACCTCTCTCCTTGAAGTTCTTGATGATCCGATAAATGGTTGATTTAGGTGCAATCTTACTAGCAGCAATATCCTTGCCTGTGAAGCCCTTTTTGTGCAAAGCAATGATGACGGCACGTGTTTCCTTGCAGGTAACCATGGTTAACAGAGGAAGAACAATGATTTCAAGCACCACCCTCCTTTTTAAAGCTTCCAGTCTGTTATTCTAACTCAATCAGCATGACAGAGTGATCTCCAGCCTTGTCCTCGTCAACACTCTCACCTGTGTTAACGAGAGAATCACTGACATGATGGCAGCTGGTCCTTTTGTGGCAGGGCTGAAATGCAGTGGAAATGTTTTTTTGGGATTAATTTCATTTTCATGGCAAAGAGGGACTTTGCAATTAATTGCAATTCATCTGATCACTCTTCATGACATTCTGGAGTATATGCAAATTGCCATCATCAAAACTGAGGCAGCAGCCTTTGTGAAAATTAGTATTTGTGTCATTCTCAACACTTTTGACCACGACTGTATAATGTAGAAAATAGTAAAAACCCTGGAATGAGTAGGTGTGTCCAAACTTTTGACTGGTAGGGTATGCATGTGTGTGTGTGTGGCAGTATGCGCAGGAGGATGATGCAAGTTATCCAGATCGCTTTGCAGAATTGGGATATTTACGAAAAGTGAGAGAGCGGAGTGGGAAGCAAATGTCTGAACTGAGGTATACCCTGATTTAGAAAGAGCTGTGTCAGCCAACTAAACCAGGAAGCAAAGTACAGGGAAACTCTCTCCCACTCAATCCCCATCTCTCTCTGTGAAGGCTGAGTAACCCATGACATGCAGTACGTGGGAGAGCTGAGAGTGACTGAGTGAGTAAGTGACTGAGGCATTCTCCATCTCCACCTGAACTCCTTGTGACTTTCAAAAGTTTTACTGGCTTGATCCACAATACATTACCTGAGATTAATATGGTTTGAAAATAATAGTATTTACTTTGCAAATTTCTTTGCTAATTCTTATAACCTTTTTGGGGGGATGATATCCCCCTCTGATTGAATCATCTTACATCTAATGATATTTTATGATTGCCAATGTGAAAATGAATAAATAGCAAAAAAGGAATAACAATAACAACTCAAAGAGTTACCTACCTGGTTGTCCTTGTTGGTTTGTCGTATGAGGTGTTGGAGGAAGTCGAGGCGGGAGGCCTTGCGTACCAGGATGAGGTCCGTGGTGCCATCGGCCAGGTGGGCAGAGGGCGACAGGCCTCTAGGGCTGCGAGGACAGGCACAGCTCATACTGGCAGCGTTGATTGCTAGGAACTTCCCCTGGATCACCCGCCATAAACTATCACCGCTGGTCTCTTTAAACACACGAGGAGTTGATCGATTAAACGTGCCATCTTTGGGGTGCTCTTAAATCAGGAGCGAGGCTGGACAAAATATTATGTGTTATTACACTCATGTGATACCACTCAGTAACACTCAGGTGAATCAAAGTATTCTGCCATTAAATTAGTGGTTGAGTGGTTTAATGGGGGATGTACAGTAACTCCAAAATGTCTGAGTGTTTTACGATAATATCTCTGATCGCAGGGGGAATATTATGTGATCCGAGGCCATAAAACGCTTAGTCTTCTCCTTGTCTCGTAAAACAAACTCACGGGAGCGATAACCTGACCCAACATTAACAAGTCCACAGGGATTAAAAAACAAATACATTTAATTGGAAAGTAAATTATTAGATGTCTTCAAAAACTACCAATCGGATTATGATTAGACATTTACAATCTTTATTGTGGGCCTTGGCATCGTCTTAGCTCGGGAACCTCTCAAGTGTCCCTTACACATTAACATTTCGGGAGGCTTGTTTGTGACGTGGCACCCAGCCGGCATCTTGCCCCATTGCTTAAGCAGTTGTTGGAGATTTGATCGCCAAAACGAGCACAGCAAGTCCCCCGCCAACTCCGGCAGCCAGGCCGACTATCTCCCTAATTAGTGGGGTTCTGTCTCCCTCTGTGTGTTTTGTGTCCCAGCCAAGCACAACAGAGAAGCCGGGAATTAACACCAATTAGAGTCCCGGAAGAGGAGAGGAAAAAGGGAATCTCTCTGTGGCTCTCAGTAAAACACGACGTATCCTCCTATCTGCTGCTCTGAATAAACAAACGCCGTCTGAGAAGAGAGGGGGGGGGGGGGCTGTGACGAGAAGAGTGGGCTGTGAGGAGTGTGTGTGTGTGTTCAACACCAAACGGTCTACTCTGACTGTCTGTAGGGAGTCATAGCAGTGAGGGAGAGACAGACAGACGAGGGAACAGACGTGAGGACAGGAGGGACATCATGCTTATGGCTGGGTAATTGTCAGCTTTATCAACAGACATGGCAACAGGGAAAAGACTACACACAGCACAGACTTACAGAGGGCAATAACCTCTTACCCTTGTCAGAGTTCTCTTCAGCCATGTTGTAGACATGATCCACTGAGAGGGGCTGCCTATTGTTGGCACCCTGCTCACAGATATGGCACCCAGTTTTGCATTTGATCTTGTCTCTAGGGTTCCCCAGGTTGTCGTCAGCGGGCAGGAAAGCGACGGTCCCTTCATAGTACTGATGGGTCAGGAACGTCTTTAGACCTGCAACAGAAGCAGTGTGTGGCTTTGAATATCCTGATGGTGACGTGTGAAATGTTTATTTTCTCCACTCATTCCTCCCTTTCACTGTAGGTCATTTTCGGGAAAATTTAGGATTGTTTCTATTACATAACATATTATCTAATAATAATACCGTTATTACATTGTTTGACTGCAATTGTAACTACATTCTAATAATGTGGTAATTACATTGTAATAACAATTATAACTCCATTATTTACCTGAGAGGTCGTATCTGGAAGGCCCCATCCAGCGCTTCTTCTCGCTGTCCGTCAGCACGTCTCCGTAGAAACCGTATCCGAACAGCGAGACGGAGTACCTGAGGAAGGTGTTGTTGTGATGGACAGAACACACGTCCATGGGTTGGGAGTCACCTGGAGGAGGAACAAACAGAATAGACAGAATAGACAGACAGAAAGGGCCTTATTCAATTGGTTGGAATGTCGTCACAGAACACTCCATATAGAATAGTCTTGGAGTCAGGGTTGGGGTCAATGCCATTTCAATATCAGTCAAGTCGGTTAAGCAGAGTGCAATAAGTAAGCTTTGGACAAGTAAGCCTTGTCCACGCTACCTGTTTCTGTGCCGTGAGGCACATTGATGTACAAGTACACCTCCTGGACAGGACTCTAGTAGAGTGCAATGTTATCTCTTTAAACCACACTCCAGACTGTGTGTGCATGGGACACCACAAGTGTACATGCAGGACATAGAATGCTGTACTATTGAGAGATGTAGCTAATCGTGAGCATTGTGACAGAGATATATTGGTAAGAAAATCTATTAAATCTCTGCGTGGACAGGTAGACCTGTTTGGTATGGAGTGTGTGTGTGTGTGTGTGTGTGAATGTATGTATGTATGTATGTATGTATGTATGTATGTATGTATGTATGTATGTGTGTGTGTATGGCTACTTTCCCATGAAGTCACTGGATCGTTGGTGCCTGTTGTAGCATATCAGATACAGTCAGTCAAACCTGTTGGATAGGAGAAATGCAGGCCACATGTCAGTCACGTAATAGCACCTTGAGTCTCAGGACAAATCCCAAACCATCAACTTTGGGGGCCGTTTTCCCAGAAACAGATTAACCCTAGTTCTGGACTGTTCAATGTAAAATCTCTATTGAAATTGCTTTTTAGCCCAGGACTTTGTCACGGGGAGTTTTCATTGTTTAAATATTGTTTTATTGAATCATCAATGACCAGAAAAGTTTTTGAAGAAGAGAGTTTTGAGACAGAGTTAGAAAAACAGTTTAAGTAGTATTATTAGGCAGAAAATAGGTGATATGTATCAGAGCCAAAGAAAGATATCATAGCCAATGGGTCTGTCTGGGTCTGGGCAATCAGCACTCACTACACAGTAAATGAGGGGAAAGCGAGATGCAGACCCTGCCTGGCACTTGAGAGAAATGTTCAGTTTGACTTCGAAATCTCTGATTTGATATTATGGTAATAGGTCTCTATTGACCGTGCTCTACCGTTCAGCCGGGGGACAGTAATTTCAGGCATATCTGTCACAGTTTGATAATTTACTATCTGTTGAGACGCACCAATGACACCAAGACAGACCGGTGAGGAGACAGACTTATTTCCTATTTCCATCTCTACAGCTAGACAACAGACTGATGCTAGGAATGCTTCCCAAATGGCACCCTATTCCCTAATAGGCCCTGATCAAAAGTATTGCACTATATAGGGAATAGGGTGCTATTTGGGATGCAAGGTAGATGTTTTCAGCTGACTCAGGGAACCGTGACAGAACAGAGAGCAGCCTGGGAAATCAGACCTGCCGTTTACAGATGGACACAGAGATGAGTATGAAGAGGAGTTATCTTCCTCTCTTCATCATTGCTTAGTAATCACACTCCTCTCTTTTCAGATTGCTCTTATGAAGAATCTGACAATGACACAGCGGAGAGTAAAATGGTGACATTGGCTGATTGGTTTGCTTCTCCAATACTTTTTGAAAAGTTCCTGAATTTAAATCTAAACTTACTGTAGTGCTACAGACTGGTTTACACTTCCTTATTTCTTACTCAAGTGAAGACTGAAGATATCTGTGTGAAGGAAGCCTGGCTGCCTTGGGTGTGTGATTGTGTGAGCCAAGCGTGTAGTCATTTTCAAACAACAAATCTTAACACCCAGTCAAAATATTCACAGAAGAGAGGAAACTAGCTACTCTCTCAGCTAAAAATATCCCTCCGTGAATTTCCAGATTCTTATCTAGGAGATATTTTCTGCAGTTTTGACTCACTTCCTCATTTGAATCTTTCCAAAGCTTCTCTCATTATCACTGTCTGCCTAACTAATAGAATAACAGTCAAGGTTCAGTCATTTAACTAAACATAGTACCTAGAAAATATGTGATAAGACAATGTGAATGCGTTGAATTACACACAGCCACTAGGTATCTAGGTAGGTTACCTGATAAAACTGGGGACGTGTAACCAAGGCTGTATGTGTGCTGTGTTGACTTTGTAAACACTCATATTATTCAGTGAAAGTCTATTTGATACTGAGAGGTTCTGTTCGTTATCTTACCACGTCTGATTAATACATCATTATTACTTTGAGTTATTATTTCTCCTAGTATATGGAACTGAAGTACACCATGATAGTTTCTTATCACTATCACTTATCAGCCTCAAAACTATGTAATGATTGATTGATAGGTAACAATATTTAAAAGGTTTATACAGGCTAAGCAGTCGCAGCAGAAAAAGCCATACTTGACCTCATGAAACCTGTCAGTAGGAAACCAACCAAGGCAAATGCACAACAAAAACTGTGATACTGTGATAACTTTTCTGTAGATATAGTGAAAAATAATTTCATCTTCGTCTGACTGACTGGAAAAAGGCTGTAATTCTGGACCACAGCAGCAGCAGGCACTCAATGCTAAGAAGTAGCATTAACCTGCAGAATCACTGAAGCTATAGGCCTAACCAGCTGTGACTTGATTCTCCTCCTCCATATTCAACCTTGGGTATTGTGAAGTAATGGATTTCACGGTGGTGAAATGTATGATGATTTTTTTTTTTTACTGTCACGAAGCACAACAGGCCCCCTTCTAATGGAGTTTTGAGTGATAGACCCTTCACAACACCCTGTGGGACCCCAAGCCCTGTTGCTATAGAAATTGCTACCCGTAACTCAGCAACAGCCAGATAACAGAACATGGGGGCTAAGGTTAGCTACCGTGGGAGTCAATCATAGCCATGGCCACTAACAGAGGAGGTATAACACAGTCCTACTCTATGGGCTATAACTGGCCTTTACCTTACCTTCTCCCCTTCTTTATCCTCTCCTCCATTTCTCTCCTTTGCTTCTCTCCTCCCTTCCCCTCTCCTCTCCCCACCCCTCCTCTCTCACCTGCAGGGATGATTCCGATGCAGGGCGCACATGGAACCAGGTCCTGGTTCAGTTGGTTCTGGTCCACTCTGGAATCACTCTTGGTCCTAGAGACCAGGCCGTGGACAACCTCGCTGAACATCCCGTCCCCTCCCACACACACCACCCTGAACAGGGAAACACACCCACGATGCATGAAAACACTCCTTTGAGACCAGCCTTAGAGTGTCTGCTGGTTTTTGTTATTTCCTTTCAATTTGTGTCCAATTAAGATCTAGACAACCAGGTGAGGGATTTCCTGACTAATCAATTAATTGATCAATCAAGTACAAGGGAGGAGTAAAAACCCGAAGACACTCTGCCCCCCTAAGCTTTCATGTTAATGTTGTTGTTGCATTGATACTGCCATTAATGTCCACTTCGCTCTCAGCAGTCCCCTTCCCTCAGACATGAATGCATTGTGGTTGGACATGGACTGTTTTGTACGGAAATCTTCACTTAGACTTTTGCACCAACAAAGTAATTTCTGACTGAGATAATAAAGTCTATGCCAGGTAATGGAAGTGTCTTCCTACTGGGTCTAAAACTCACCCGTCACATTGCTTCAGATCTACCTTAGTCTTCAAGTGATCCCTGGCATGATTGGCACTCTCCGTAACTATGGAAACAAGTTATTTTGTCAGTATTAAAAACCCATGACGAATATCTCAAGTCTATCTAGTCAAGACATTGCACACACAACACAAAATAGTTAAGCCAAGAATCCTGCACACAGTATTGCTCCTCCCATTGTCTTAAAGGAATTATTTATTTTTTTTACCATTAAGGTGTTCCAACGAATGGTGAAATGCCAACACCAATTAAAACACCTCGAGCTATGGGGCTGGGTCCAGCCTTAAGCCCATGACGGTTCTATGGTCACGAGCTGCCAATACCCTAGACAAGGGATCGGCAACTCCAGTTCTCGGGGTCCTGATTGGTGTCACACTTTTGCCCCAGCCCCAGCTAACACACCTGACTCCAATAATCAACTAATCATGCTCTTCAGTTTAGAATGCGATTAGTTTAAAATCAGCTGTTTTTGCTAGGGATGGGGAAGAAGTTAAACACCACTCCGGCCCCCGAGGACTGGAGTTGCCCATCCCTGCCCTAGACGATCCATGATCTTCACAAGCTATGTGATGCCTCCCCCTGCTAATACCCTAGACCCCTCAAACTCAACTCTGGACCTCGAAGCCAGTTCCAGTCCTCGTTTTCATTGTCCCCCTCTAATCAGGGTTCTGATTTAGACCTGGCACACCAAGTGGGTGCAATTAATTATCAGGGAGAACAGAAAATCAGCAGGCTCCGGACCTTGTAGGGTAAGAGTTGAGTACTCCTGCCCTAGACGCTCCATGGTCTTCCCAAAGCATCCCATGAATCATAGATGTGTTTGGAATGGATTCCCATGTTTATCGACTATCACAGCTTCCATTACAGTGTTCCCTTGATGGATGGTGCTATAAATAAAATCATATTCTTGGGAGTGGTTGGTGGGTATAGGCTGTTTGCCAAGTCAACAAATAAATATTTGCCGGCCATAAAAGCTAATTTTTTATTTAAATGTTAATGTAGGCCCTCTGACAGGAACTCACCGATCACGTCGGTGGAGATGGAGGCTCGGGAGAAGAGTGGGGCTTACTCTCTGCTCGTAAATCCGCTTCCCGTGTTGTTTTCCACTGTAGGGATTGATGTACACTAGCAAGCGTTTCGGTCGGCTGCTTGCAAAGTGAAGGAGAGTCTGGTTTGGTCATTAAAATGGAGGACTCAACATTTAGTTTAATGGACGGTAGAGTGTGACTGTCTGACAACTTCATGAAGTTTTCATTAACCAACAAAACTTTACAGAAATGCTCCGTCATCATCAAACTGACATCCTCTGACTGATTCTCTTAATGTTCTCTAGAATAAATTGTTGGGATATTGAAGGCTAGATGAGCAAAAAGCATTGGAAAGGTACTTCTTTGTAAGATGCTAAATAGTGTGTTAATGGTTGGTAAAATGGTCTCACTTTACACAGACAACATATTAGGCCTTTATAGATGTTTCTCAAATCATGAACCTTTAAAGTTGGTGTTTGTTTAAAGTAAGGCCAGTAAAACAGTCTGCATTGAAAAGGACATACTGAGTAGTGAGAGCTGGTTGTTGATGGTCTGGACCCACTGTTAACGCTGTGCCTCATCTAAGCAATGGAAGATGATATCTTTACACCGCAAGCAGTGATGTTTGGTCCTCTCCGTGTAGAACAATATATTTAGAAAAAGGTGAGAGAGAGAAATAGAAAAATAGATAACAAAGACAGAAAAACTGAAAAGTCAAGAAGGATACTATCATTCCAACAAAAAACGGAATTCCTGGCTTGTTAGGGTAGATGAAACAAAACAAAGATGTTGTCTGCCTCCACAAACCATCCCATGTCAGATTATGTATCCCTCCCCTACCTGTGAATGCATACGGATACAACAGAACTTGCTTCCTTCTAACATCTTTGTTTGTTCGGTCTTCTTCTTCAGTCTCTCTGGCACCAACTATCTCAGACAGCAGGAGAAAATGGTGGTCTGCTGTAAACATTAAGAAACAACACAGAACAACAGTTTAGTGCCCCATAACAACACAGCAACTACACAAAGGACAGTTTGACCTGCGGTCAGGATTTACAATTCAACGATAATAGAGATACGCTATTAAAAGGCAAAGATAACCTGAGGTTAACTTTACTTGAATGGTCGTCTTTTTAGGGTCATATTCCCAGTGGTTGCATGAATGAAATCAAATAACATTATTTCTGTCTTGGAACCATGTGAATGCTTGGAATGGGCCATCCTTTTTTGTTGACTTTCCTATTAACAGGCTGTGGGCACTATAGCTTGCATCACTGTATGCCAGTAAACATATCATGTGACTGTGTCATACTGGGAGTAGGCTGACAGTATCAGAGTGATTATGGCTTTGTTCAAGAGGGTGGAGGGTTTAGACCAGACACTAGGTTAAATTAATGATCTACCTCACAGTCATATACAGTAAACCACCTAACGTTGACATACATAAACGTTTAGTTCTACAGCCTAATCTGCATCATGATGAAAGCCATTGGAGGAAGTTAACTGACACCATGAAAATGATACAGGGCAGCAAGAACAACGCTTGAAGAATTATCACTCAAAATATGAGCTGCTCCTCATACACCCTACAGCAGGGTTCCCCAACTGACAGCCCTCTGGTGATTTTATTTGTCCCCCCAAGTTCTGACCCCCCCAAAAAAATGTGTTTCAATTGTTTTATTGTTGGACATAAAAGACTGTAAAAAAACACTGAAATCTGTTCAAAGGAATCTCATGAATAAGAGAGAGATATATGTGATCGTATTCAAATGTAAGCAAGGTTTGAAATCATTGTTTTAGTCAAATGGTTGGGCTACTTGCGGTCAATTTGCAGCTACAAATTATTTGGAATATGTTCCGGCCCCCTGACCATCCTCTCAAGAATCTAGTTGATGATCCCTGCCCTATAGGAATTTGTGTGTGTTGTACCTTTTAGTGTTGTGACATGGGCAGTCAGCCAACTTACACCAGCTTGGTCAAGCATAACATTTACATTTACGTCATTTAGCATCTTATCCAGAGCGACTTACAGTTAGTGCATACATTATTCTTTTTTATTTTCATACTGGCCCCCCGTGGGAATCGAACCCACAACCCTGGCATTGCAAACGCCATGCTCTACCAACTGAGCTACCTCCCTGCCAGCCATTCCCTCCCCTACCCTGGATGACGCTGGGCCAATTGTGCACCGCCCCATTTGTCTCCCGGTTGCGGCCGGCTAGAGCAGAGCCTGGATTCGAACCAGGATGTCTAGTGGCACAGCTAGCACTGCGATGCAGTGCCTTAGACCACTGCGCCACTCGGGAAACACGATTCTATACTTAGTTCTATACTTAGGTTCTATACTTAGTCATAATATCATATTTTATTCTCAACATAAAGAACAATGGAGCTTTGGAAACATTCCAGTACTGGAAATGCTAAACAATGAGATGGGCGGTATTCCTTGTACATTCTCCAGTATATTAGCGACAGTATATCAACAGGAGGGGTTATTCTTTAGTCACATATGGATTGTCTGATTAGTGATAGCAGAGAGATGGGAAGGGTGACTCCAGGTTTACAGCCCGTCATAATCATAAAATAAGAGAGGTACCTGAGAAGCAGTCAACCCATCCCTGGGGCACCCCAGTATGAAGACAACAACCCTCACTAAACTGGGTAAGTGGAAGTTCGCTGGAACATTCCAACGGACCCAAAGATGCTCTGCCTTTACATGGCATAACGCCTAAGAACAAAAAATCTGGAAGAAAAACTGGTCAGCAAGTAAACTACAGTGTCATGTGTGCATTGCTGGGCCTCAGTCATCTATGATTGGGTCTTCATCTTCAAGATACTTCAGTATTAGAAGCTGATGATTATAGAGCAGACCCAATTTGCGTAAAGCCTCTAAAGTCGGTGGCTAAGTAAGCGCTGCCTTGAATCACTGGCTTGCACAGCTGACTCACCATCCACGCTGAACACACAACCCAATTACTGTTGCTGGACAGTATGTGACCTGACCTGATGGTGTGACACAGGTTAGAAAACACAGGAGCTTTTTCACACACAGTTCACTGATCTGGCACAGCTATAACCAAAATAAGTTGTCTAACAACTACTGTGTATAGAATGCACAGGGCTTCGAGATTATATTGACAACATGACCTAACTGGGACCCAGAGTTTTTATAGTCAGGTCATATGGTCAGGAAAAACAACTTGGTCCTAATGAGTACAGTCAGATATAACCAAGGGAAGAAGTGTGAATATTATCTCATAATATCTGGATTATACAAATACCCCAAAGGGGGAATTGGCAGTCCTCCAGCTACAATATATTAAACATCCATAGAAAGGTGAGCTGTGTAAAGCAAAGCATGGGGGTTTTATAAAGTACCTACTCAGCCGTTTTTAACCTCAAACCCATTGCTACTTGGCCTGATAATGGAATAGTACAATTTCTAAATGATAACCTTCCTAAGATCTCCCATGTCACCCCGCTCCTCCGCACACTCCACTGGCTTCCGGTCAAAGTTTGAATCATCTTCAAGACCCTGGTGTTTGCCTACGGAGCAGCAAGGGGAACTGCACCTCCTTACATTCAGGCTATGCGCAAACCCTACATTCCAACTCGAGAACTCTGTTCCGCCACCTCTGGGAGGGAAGCTTCCGCTCAGCCCAGTCAAAGCCCTTCTCTGTCCTGGCACCCCAACAGCAGAACAAGGCAAGCTTCCCCCTAAAGTCAGGGCAGCGGTGTCCCTGCCCATCTTTCGAAAACATCTCAAACCCTACTTCTTTGAAGAGCATCTTAAATAACCTTCACGGTGCCCCCAACCACCCCTTCCCACTAGCACTGACTTTGCTGATAAATACTTTGAGGGATGATGTACATGATACAATTGTGATGTGTTGTTGTCTCACCTAGCTATTTTAAGTTGAATGCATCACCTGTAAGTTGCTCTGGAGAAGAGCGTCTGCTAAATGAATAAAATGTAATATAAATTAGGGCTGTGGCGGTCATGAAATGATTGCCAAGCAAATAACTGCCGGTCTCATGGTAATTGACCGTTAATTAACAAACACGTTTAGTATCTCCTGGCTTCAATGCATAGCCTACAAGCCACTGATGCAGACCTTTGGAACATCTACATTTTAAAAAGTTGAATAAATCATTTAATATAGCCTACACCATCAAAATAAATCAATTATTTATTTTATACGGGTCTAAAGAAACATATGAAGAAAATGTAGTCTATTTCAGAAGAACAGAATAGCATACTCAGTTTTCCTTATGTTAGGCCCTGATATGGCTATACCATCCTGTGGGCTATACTAGCTCATTTAGCAGACAAGATTTGCTTAGAATTCCGTAGGCATTCTTTAAAAATGTTTTACAGTATAAAGAATACAATTGAACATAGCTGAATAAAATAGAAAGGATATTTTCCGGCGGCATCCCCCTTGTGTGGCCGTAAAGCCCCCTAAAAAAAATCCATGCCTTTTGCGGCCAACGTGGCCATTGTGCCCTTGGGCTGAATATAATAATTATAATTCCCTTCTCCCGGCTGCCGTGCTCCTAAGCACCTCTCACTCACATGGCTCTCTCAGATATCTAAATTCTTATTAGCCAATGCCCGTCACGTGATCGGGTCCTTCTCACAGGCATCTCAGCTAAGATGTAGGCTACAAGTGAAGACAGACATATCGGGGATGCAACTGCGTGCGTCCCTCTTGTCGAATTCCGAGGCACATATTGAAGATGTTAGAAGAACGGTCCACATTTAGCCTACTTTTTGTCAGCCAACAAGATGAGTAGCCCTAACGAATAGCAAAAGCACTAGCCTATGTCGATCTACTATCCCCAATAGCACAAAAGTTGACCTATTCTATTGGTCAACTTGTCCTTCTCTGAAATAAATAAATATTCCAAACATACTCTGGGACAGTTGTGGGATGCTATAGATTCCAAATTAATACAACCACTCGCATTAAAAAACCATTTAAATGCAACGACGCTGATGCAACAGAATGTTTAGCTTAAAATGTTGATAATCTATTTGATAAACTATTTATTCACATTATAAGCGCAGCAATGCACACACGGCAGTAGGTTATAAGAGCGAACGTTCCAAAATGCAAAAAATTAGCGGGAAAACACTGTTCTCAAAAGTGACCGCAAATGCGATTATGCACGTAATGCTTTATTATAAAGGTTCATTTTATGGTGAAAATGTCTTCCCCAAACTTGAAACTCAGGTGCCGCCTATGTATGCCAGTTAGGCTCTACACCAGCTATAAAGCGGATTAATGTGCTTAAATTTTAAGAAGTTATTTGGCCACTTTAGTTGTGATACAAACCTTATCAAAACATATAGGCCTACATGAGGTGTGCAACTATGATTTGAAAAAGTCGCAAAAAAGGCATGCGCTGTTTCTTGCTTTACTGTACATGCTGGGCATCATTCAAAAGTGATAATACATCATTCACAAGTGATAGGCTAATATTGTCACCCATCAGACTATTCTTAATTTAATGTTGTCTTTACATATACTAAATAATATGTGTGAAATTTGTTTTAATTTAGAATGGACCATTATCATGCACCTGTCTCAGAACAGGGGCATGGGGAAAAAAATACATGTCATCTATGCACTTAAATAGCGAATGGAGGACGCTTTTCCCGTGGTTCATTTTCATAGAGCACTGAGTACCAGGCAGTTAGCAAGTTTGGTAGGCTACTAATGACAGCAGCATCAGAGCTTGGAGAAGCCTAGTTACCGTGACTAACCGGTCACGTGGAATTTGACTGCAGTCATGACTCATGATCGCCGGTGTGGCAGTAATACGGTCCCCATAACAGCCCTAATGTAAATGTAATAACCTTTGCCCGCAGTCTCCCATAATGTAGTCAGGTGGCATCCTGTCAGACCCGATTCCTGCTCTGTACTGTATGCACAAACAGAACATACTGTATTG